TATGTAAATAAGATTTATTGTATGCTACAATAACGAATGTAATCTAACAACTTACATAGAAAATTAAGTTTAATCTCCATTTTTTAGAGAATTTTGTTATGTTTCTGTAAAAATACATGTACTTGTAGAACATATACAAAGTCTGAATATTGTAGCACAATGTAATATAAATTTCAGGTCATCAAGATCGAAAAAATCGATGTATGTAAAAAGGCAACTTGAGAAAGAAGTTAATAATTTAACTCCAGCTATTGCTAAAAAGCATAAACCCAATTTTGGCAATTGTGAAAACACAATTTCTGAAAGCTTTGGGTTAGAACTTCAGAGTGTTGAAGCTTCTGATGATGCCTTATATGTTAACCGACCTAGATATCAGGAAATATATCGGATTTTCTCTGGCTAGTGCTGGAGATAGAGAGGGTGGAAGAAAGTCCAGGCCGGTGAGTTTTTTTTTTCGTTTAATAATGGTTTCATACAAGTAGACAAATAGCAATTATTGTTTTGCAATTTTAGTAAAATCTAACTGAGTTTATTTTATTTCTAGGAACCGATATCCGGACAAAAATAAGATGTGCGTGTGCGTAAAAAATGTTTGTTATTTAATTAATAAATGTGGGTATTGTTCAATTAATATGTGCATTATTTAATATTCTGATTCCTCACAAAAAAATAATTGAAAATGATATGTCATTGTTAGGGTTGAATATTAATTTAAAGTGTGTCCGCCAATATTGAAATGTGAATTTATATATTTGTTTTTCATTAAAATCGGATAATAAGAACTTGTTATGAGTTTTTACTTATATACACGTATTTATACACGTGAATATAAGTATTAGAAACTCATAACATGTTCTTATTATCCGATTTTAATTAAAAAGAAACATATATATTCACATTTCAATATTGGCGCAATAATTATTAACAATATTGAGCCATCCAGTATGTTGCATATAGCCAATATTGGACGAATATATTCTGCTGCCTGCGATATGTATCCCAATATTTACTGAATATTGGAGTAACATATTTCACCAATATGTAATAATGTTCACATTTCAATATTGGCCCAATATTTATTAACGATATTGAGCCATCCAGTATGTTGCATATGGCCAATATTGTACGAATATATTTTGCTACCTGGGTGCAGACGTAAACTCATAATGCAAATGCAAAAGATGCAGTTCGTCAAATGGAAAAACTCCGTGCGTAAAAAGTGATGGTTCCGTACTTTTTCAACATAGTTTATTGAAAGGTGATAATGAAAAGTTGGTGACGAGGGCATCGGCATCATGCAGCAGAATCATGTGTCGGAACAGGGCGGCGTGTTTGGACGGGACGCACTAGTGGCCGCCGTCGCCGTGTCCTGCGACGCCCGTCCAGACGCTCTTTCGTCCTGTGCAGCCCGCATCGCGACGCATCTGCTGCAGCGCCGCCGTCGCGCCGCAGGTTCAGGCGTCCGCCGACAGATGGGCTACGCAGATCGGCTTCAGTACAGCTTAAACTCCACAGCCGTTAACATCGATCGCCCTCGGACTGTCTGTCTGGTGCTACTCTGGTACTCTCCCGGCAACGCGCGGATTCCCCTCCCGAGTGCATTTCCAGTGAAAATTTTTGAGTGAGTGATTTTGAATTCAGCACCGACCCAGATCGATTCGATTGGCTCGACGTCGGCAGTGAATCGTGAATTGATATGATGTGAGTGAGCAGGAATGTCAGTTTCGGAAAAAGTTTCCCCGCACCATTTGGAAGATGAGGAATCACCTCCCAGGGGCGAGACTGATTTTGTTGTTGATCCGGTACCTGGATGTGAGAATTCGACGTTCTACGGGGCCGTAGTAAAGTCGTCGCATTAGTCCGAACCCAATTCGCGCCACCAGACATGTGTAGAATATCGTACGAAAAATGTATATGTTTTGTATTTCTAATAGTAATTTTAGTCGTTTTGATTTGCTCTGGTTTCCCCACAGATAACTTAGTCACGCCGAACAGTAGCAAAAAGTATTTCCGTACCTCAATGGCATCGTCCTCCCATTTTTTAAGTCGAGTTTCTAACGTTAACCCTGATGGTTCCGTACCGGCTCGGGCGCGGCATCACAGACAGTTGAGGGCTGCAAAACGCGACTCCCGAACTTCCAAAACGCCGACGGGCCACATCGAGGCCACCGTTTACCAAAACGACGCGAACCCGAGCGAACTCACCAAAACACTCAACACTCGATCGCAACGATCGTCCGGTCGATCCCGGAACCGGCAAAAAACAGACTGTCAACCCGAACACTTCTCCTCAAAAGCCTACAAATCTCAAATCGTCCTCACGGCCAAAGCGCAAGGGTTTGAGAAGATTAATCACAAGGTCAGCTTCAAGTTGGTCCAGCAGCTGAAGAACGTTTCCTCCATTCCAATACACGAGTGTCTAAATCCTCAGTTCTCCAATCGCACGGAAAGGTGCGACAGCGGCCAACGTGACAGGAAAAATCTAGTCAGTGCCAATATTAGGGGCTCTCGGGAATACATCCTGTTCTTTAATATCTCCGGTGCCAATGAATGTACACCCGCATTTTCCCCGGAGCTGCTCAGACGGAAGAAAAAGGAGAAAATGTTGAAAACTCTAGAGAAAGTCACCCGTCACAACTTCAGTAAGTACCTTTCCATATTACCTACATCGTATACAGTGAACAGCTGATCATTTATCAGCAAATGCATATACAGGCAGGGGCGGATCCAGCTCTAAATTCAGGGGGGGGGCTATGTAAAAAAAACCGTCTTCTGTTGTCTATGAAATTAGCAAAATTATCGTCGTTTTGTGCAAGGGTGGCGCAAGATTATTGCAAAATTTCATGTTTTCCCTCCCGTTTTGCATGTTTCTCGGAAGCAAAATGAGCAAGCATTCCAAAGAGAACTAAATGGCCTTTTTAGAAAGTGAACCATCGATAAGGAAATCTTGCAGGTTTTTCAAAAAATGCATGAATTCAAGAAGTTTTAGATTTGCGTGGTTTTTTTTTGAGTTGCAAAATCCACTTGAATATGACGCTGCTTTTTTGAAGTTTCTCAAGAACCATTCGAGCCACATAATTCATTTTGGCATCATTGGATAGAGAATTGAAAACTCGATTCAGTCGTAACAACGTGAGCGAGGAAATTTGAGTAGTTTTGACACAGAAAGCGAAATTTGAATATCAGACACTTAGGTGCAAGATTATGCCAACATTTCATGTTTTCAAATGTTGGCAGTTTTCTCAAAAAATGCTTGAATTCAAGAAGTTTTAGATTTGCGTGGTTTTTGTTGACTTGCAAAACCCACTTGAACAGGACGCTGCTTTTTTCGAAGTTTCTCAAGAACCATTCGAGCCACAGAATTCGTTTTGGCATCGTTGGATAGAGAATTGAAAAGTCGATTCAGTCGTAACAACGTGAGTGAGGAAATTCGAGTAGTTTTGACCCAGAAAGTGAAATTTTAATATCAGACACTTCGGTGCAAGATTATGCCAAAATTCCATGTTTTCCGTCTCATTTTTCTCATTTCTCGGAGGCAAAATGAGCAAGAACGCTTATTTGTACGTCATTCTAGACAGAAATAAGTGGCCTTTTTAGAAAGGGAACCATCGATAAGCAAATGTTGGCAGTTTTCTCAAAAAATGCTTGAATTCAAGAAGTTTTAGATTTGCGTGGTTTTCTTTGAGTTGCAAAATCCACTTGAACATGA